TCCCCTGACCCCTGAATTCCCAGTGCAAACTGACCGCTCCTTTTAGGGACTAGCAGGAACTCTGCAAAAAAAACAGGTAAAACAGCTTTTGCTGAAGAAAAGGAGGTCTGGTTCTTCCCTTTGCCCAGGACAGTGAGAACCCTTTGCCTTACATTGCATAACTAAGAAGGGTCATTCCAGTGATTTTCTCCTGAGGGAAAACATCTGGTCCTGGTGTGTCAGCCCCCCGGCTTTCGTAACTGTGTCCTCTGGTTCCCAGGGGTCCCACAAGCAGAGCAGCACCTGCGGGCAGCACCCAGGGGCAGCGTCCCGGGCACATCCTCAGGCAGGCGCCCTGCCAGGCCCTGCACGAGTTTTGTATTTTAAAGTTTTGGGGATTTCCCTTTTTTGGTTAGTCCTCACCGGAGAATATTTTTTTTCCATTGAGTTTTTTTTTAGAAAGTGGGAAGGAAGGAGGGATGGGGAGAGAGAGAGAAACATCGATGTGAGAGAGACACGTCAATTGGTTGCCTCCTGCATGTGCCCTGACTGGGGCGGGGATTGTGCCCTTGACCCAGAATCTTTAAAGTTTTGGGGATTTCCCTTTTTTGGTTAGTCCTCACCGGAGAATATTTTTTTTCCATTGAGTTTTTTTTTAGAAAGTGGGAAGGAAGGAGGGATGGGGAGAGAGAGAGAAACATCGATGTGAGAGAGACACGTCAATTGGTTGCCTCCTGCATGTGCCCTGACTGGGGCGGGGATTGTGCCCTTGACCCAGAATCAAACCCATGACCCTTCAGGGCACAGGCTGGCGCTGTGACCACTGAGCCGCGCCCAGGGCTGGGGATTTATTTATTTTTCTCAAACCCAACACCCAGCACAGAAGCTTCCCTTGAAGGCAGCGCAGGTGCCCGCCCTCCTTCCCACCCTTGCAGCTCCCGTGTCCTGGTGGGCGGGTGGCCTGTGTCCCGCATAGGCTCCACCCAGATCCCGTCACCTCTTAGTTCTGAGAAATTAAGCAGCCGGTGGCGGCTTCGCAGGGGGCGGCACTGTTTGTGAATCAGAACACGAATGATTGTCATTTGAGCTAGATTTTTAATTATTCGTTTTTAAACATATATATATTAATATTTTTATTGATTTCAAAGAGGAAGGGAGAGGGAGAGAGAGATAGAAACATCAATGATGAGAATCATTGATCAGCTGCCTCCTGCACGCCCCACACTGGGGGTCAAGCCTGCAACCTGGGCGTGTCCCTGACCGGGAATCGAACTTGGGACCCTTCAGTCCACAGGCTGATGCTCTATCCACTGAGCCAAACCGGCTAGGGACATTTTGTATTGATTTCAGAGAGGAAGGAAGAGGGGAGAGAGAGAGAAACATCAGTGATGAGAATCATTGATCGGCTGCCTCCTGCACGCCCCACACTGGGGGTCAAGCCCACAACCCAGGCATGTCCCTGACCGGGAATCGAACCGGGACCTCCTTGTTCAAAGATCGATGCTCATCCCCTGAGCTGGGCTGAGCTAGATTTTTAAAGCGACTCAGAGGTCAGAGCTCTCTCTTTACGTCCCACTTCCGTCCACGTACCCCGCTCCGCTCACATGTGGGGACGGCTGAGTGTGACCCGAGGTGCAGCCCACGGCGTCACATTCCAGTAGGTGAGACGGTGGTTTCTGAGTGAAGGGCGCCCGGGCTGCCATTGCAGATGAGGAGACTGAGGCTCAGGGCAGAGCAGTGCCCCTCCCCCCCGGCCTCCGTCAGGGGCAGAGCTGGGTGCCCAGTGGCTGCTGCCCGGCCCAGCGCTTCCTGTCTTTCTCCGAAGCAGAGAAATCGAGGTCTTTTGTCTGCTGGTCATTATGATGACAGCGTCACCATGGAAACGACTGTACATGAGTCCTCAAAACTGTTATTTCTGCTTTTACCAGCGCGGAGTCTGCCGAAAGGAGGGCTGTGCCCGGGCTGAGAGCTCTTAGACCAGGTGGTGATGGCGGCCGCCACCCCCGGTGACCCCCACTGTGCGCTGCCCCTCCCCACCCGTGCTGGTGAAGTGGCCGCAGCGAGGCTGGTGGGTGTT